CACACATTCTGTCATTCCCAAAGCTATGGCATGGAGTGGGACCTAGAGCATGCTTTGGTGCTTATTTTTTAGCGTAAGTCACCCAAACATGCTCAAGTCTCTTGGCAGAAGAGAAAATCAATTTTTTGACAGGATTAGTCCCTACTCTCTTTTCTTTCAGTTATTTATGATGGTGTCCTTGACTCCATTGCTCATTTATTGGCTGTATAATTGCACTTCCAAGTTAAAACGACAATAGCAGAATCCAAAGCTTCTATTTTGCTCTATATTACATTTTTATTGCTTCTAGTCTAGATGGTATATAATTGGGTTTTACTGTGCCACTTTGTCAAAAGGATAGATGGACCCAAATTCTTTTGCTGTTCAAAGGATTTTTAGCCGTGTTTTTTAGTGTGTGTTTGTCTTTCATTATTGTACAAGAAATGAAGTAATGAATAGTATTTTTTGGAGAATGTGTCGTTGAAATTTAAAGTAATTTTATTGGTCTGTGTGGAATATTTTATTAGGTATTGTGTGGTGGAGAATCTTACTGTAGCAAACAATGTTTTGAAATAACAAGAGACAAACGGGGCCTTAATCTCATTCTCATTTTTTTCTCATTCTTCATTTTAATCACACATTTTCCAAATAAAATAATATTACACACAAATCTAAAATTTTTCATTATTTTTTTACGACACATTCTCTCATCAATCACTATTCCAAAAATTTTAGAGCGTGTTTGGTAGAGATTAAAATCGGATTAAAATTGAAAAATTAGTTGTTATTGTTGACTTTTATTAGACGGATGAAATTCAATAACGACTATATTTTTAATTTTAATTGGATTTTTAGTGTTTCCAAATAAGCTCCTATTCTTGCAATTTTAATGAGATTCAAACACACATAGGTCAAAAAGTTATGGTGGCTATTTCAAAAATAATGGCCCCTGACAACTGGACCTGTCCTTCTGTCCAAATCAATCTTGCTGGCACTAGAATTAATGGGTGTAATTTTGAAAAGTCCATTTGATAGACGCCAGATCCCTTAGATTTGTGTTGTCATACATTTTTCTTTTTT